GGCTCGCAACGAGGCTGGCTCGCAACGAGGCTGGCTCGCAACGAGGCTGGCTCGCAACGAGGCTGGCTCGCAACGAGGCTGGCTCGCAACGAGGCTGGCTCGCAACGAGGCTGGCTCGCAACGAGGCTGGCTCGCAACGAGGCTGGCTCGCAACGAGGCTGGCTCGCAACGAGGCTGGCTCGCAACGAGGCTGGCTCGCAACGATTGTCGTTGCTGGCCCTCATCTTCCAAAGATTCATTTCCTTCTCGAAATCATTGAAACCATCGGCGACACTGGTTTTCCGAAATAGCATCTTCCCCAAATACTTTGCAGCGGTTTCGATAAGATTCAGCGGCGTTTTTGCTCAATTTGAAGTCATACCAAAGGCTGGTACGGAAACGAAACTTTGTATCTGTCATCTAAGCACAGAAAAAAATCAAAAATGGATTGGTTTGACGTCAAAAACTGGAAAAGTTGTAATAGATAAGAAATCCTGAACAGTGGATAAAGAATTGGGTAAAATTGTATAGCTCTAAGGGTTGAAGAGCAGGTTCAAGAGCAGGTTCAAGAGCAGGTTCAAGAGCAGGTTCAAGAGCAGGTTCAAGAGCAGGTTCAAGAGCAGGTTCAAGAGCAGGAGTGCATTCATTTTGAAAAAATTGAATGTTTAAAGTTGAAACTGATCGGTTTAAAGCTGTTTAAAACGTTTCACTGAACAAACAATGAATCGAGATCAAACAATGACCCATCTTAAAGCTCAAAATATCCCACTGGTCTCTGCTCATTTAAAATATTCAATTGAAAAAAGGGGGTGGATAAAAAGATGGGAAAAGAGGGGAAATCCATTAGCCGATACGGCCATTAAAGCCTTTTTCGAGCTTTTTTCAAGTCAAAATCCCCAAGAGAATAAAGAATTTGAGTGGGAAAGCTGAGAAAAGAGTTTATGAGTGGAACTTAGAAATGAAAATGAGAACAAGAGTCTTTTTTTCTTTTTTTTTGGTTTTCTGCAATCTTTGCAATCCATTTCACTTATAGTTTAGCTGTTCCGGGTTTTCTAAATCACATCTATTTTTGGCCAACCACCGTAATCGAATAGCTAGCTTTCATTGAGTTTAACAATATTTGCTCAAAATCTTTTCAAACTCAGCTTTGCTTCTTGTGAGTTTCTTGGGAAAATATCTAGACAAAAGACACTTCCTCATTGTCTCAAAACTTCCTCATTGTCTCAAATAAACTCTTTTGCCCCAATAAACTCTTTTTCCTTAAGACCTTGTGATCCATTTCTTTGTCCACTGATTGCTAAGATTTAGCTTTATGGGCTAGTGGGAAAAGAAGCTAATCTTTGGCAATAAAGACACAGAATGTTTTAAGGAGCAAAATATTTTGGGGGTTTTGGCTTTAGGGATTTCTTTACCCCTTCCCCTTTCCTTTTTCATTTTCCGCGTCAAACACCTGAGTTATTTTCAACCTTTTCCCAAAAAGAATCAGAAAGTGAAAAACTTTGTATACAGGGAAAAAAACAGCTTACTACGATCATGAAAGCTATCGTGAATCACATGGATCTGGATCTGGACCTGGATCTGGATTTGGATCTGGATCTGGCCTGGTCTGGTTTGGTCCTGGTCTGGTCCTGGTCTGACCTGGAACTGGATCTGGATTTGGATCTGGATCTGGCCTGGATCTGGATCTAGACCTGGCTCTGGTCCTGGTCTGCTCTCGACTTGGACCTGGACCTGGTCCAGGTCTGGCCCTAGATCTGGCCATCTTGTGAGTTTCTTGGGAGCTAGACCTGGACCTGGAACTGGATTTGTATCTGGATCTGGCCTGGTCTGGCCTGGTCCTGGTCTGATCTGGATCTGGACCTGGATCTGGATCTGGTCCTAGACCTGGCCTGGTCGGGCCTGTTCCTGGTCTGGTCCTGGTCTGGCCTGGATCTGGACCTGGATTTGGATCTGGATCTCGCCTGGATCTGAACCTGGAGCTAGCCTTTTCTGGTCTGGTCTTAGCCTGTCCTGTTCTGACTATGATTGCAAGGCTTGTACAATATTTAAGTTTATCTGTAACTCACTAATCTCCCTAGATCAAAACATAGATTTTCCTGTGATAAACACGCGACTCATCACGCGATTTTCTACCGAAAATCCGTTTATTTGTTGAAACTTTCTTTTCTTTGCAAAGGTTTTCCTTTGTAGAAAAGGATTAGTGAGGCTGAAAACAGATTTGTCAGCCTATTAGCGTCATGAAAATGGTTAAAATTACTGGATAAAAAATAGGGACTAATGGGAAAACATCAAAAAAATCAAAAAACACATCAAAAAACGATTTTAAAAGCTTGGTAATGACAAAAATTTTAGCATAGCTTAGAATTAACTTAGAATAGAATATAACTTAGAATAGAAAAAGATATTGGAAACAAATCCAGTGATGTGACTAATCCAATTGAGAAACAATCGCCTCTTGAGCTCTAGGAGAGTTTGTTTGTTTGCGATTCAGTGGTTTTTTTCCCAGGCTCAGAAATGGAAGAGAGAGAGAGAGATAAAGATTGGGTAAGAAAGGAAAACTTAGATAAAATAGCAAGCAAATGAGGGGAAAAATACTGGAAGTCAAAGAGAATCTCAAAGTTTTTGAGAGAAAGATGGAAATTTGACTCTTCTGGTCCCCAGGGTTGGCCTCTCAATTTCCTTGAATCCACCTACCCCTTCAGATAATAGTGGCTCTTCAAAACGAACGGGCCACTCTTTCTTCTTTCTTTCATGATACCTATTTTACTTCCTTTCTCTATGCAATGCCCGGCGATTACGGGTTTTAAGACCGGTTTTCTGTGTTTTGATCTTTGTCCCCTTCTACCAGATTCGTCCTTTTTTCAATAGCTGGCCACCAGGGCGAACGATTAATGGATTTTTTTACAAAGGTGAGCGAGCTACAGTAAGCTTTTAACTATACTATAGCTGTTTGAGGATCCTTTAAACGACATTACCCCATTGAACTTTAGATTTTCCGTGACGGCCATTATTATTTGGATGTGGTCATGTCGGCGAATCGGCTCACCATTGTGCTTTTGCCAACCGAGCACACAAGGGTACTGTAGTTTGAAATTTAAATAAAGCTACAGCTAAAGCTCATTTACTCTAACTTCTCCAAAATTTCCTTAAAACTTTAGATCTGGCAATCGCACAATTTACGACGAGCGATCGCTTTCTGCGTTTTTCTCATGTTTTTCGCGTAAAGCTTCATATTTTTGTACGGATGGAAAGGCGAGAAAATGGGCTACTCGCAAGTGATCGATTTTGATGCGGTGAGTTCACAAATTTGGTCTAAAAGTATGAAATGTCGCTGGTTTTTTAAAAGAATACATTTATTTGCAAGAGGCCCTAAGCCATTACGGATTTTAAGACCGGTTTTCTGTGTTTAGTTTTGTTTTTACGGGTTTAAGACCGGTTTTCTGTGTTTTCTGTTGAATTGGATCCTGTTTTGTACGCTAGACATGAGAAAATTCCAACCCGAACCTAACCCGAACCTTTTTGAGGTTCTTCATTCTTTCCTCTTCTTCATTTTCGAAGTGCTCTCGATTTTTGAAGTACTCTCCAGGTTGTATCGATCGAAAAATGATGACAATCTGTAGGACTGAGGTCAGGAGGATATGGTGGTAAGAGTTCTCGGTTCAACTCGTGGATTTTGGAGCAACTTTGCCTGACTTTGGAGCAACTTTGCCGTATGTGAAAACTTATATAGCATGAGATAGCAAGTTAACAAGTTGACAAGTTAACAAGTTAACAAGTTAAAAGTCAAGTCCACACTTGAAATCTACTATTTTTCAGTTTGCAAGTCAACTAGCTGTGCTAAATATTTAGCACCGTCGCTGCGATTCAGATGAGAAGATGCTTTCAGTGAAACTGTCCGGATTTTCTCGTTTTTCCTTTTTCTCTCACATTTTCGTTTGCATCAAAGAAACAGGAATAAAAATTTTGCTATTTTGTGTGATTTCTGATTGAAAATATCACTTAAGAAGGTTTAAGTGTTTTTTTAGGTCTATTCGTTCCTAGGTATAAACGGATGTGGACTAGAATTTGGGTTAAGTTAAAGAGAGTAGATCCGTTTTGATATCCCGCCATCTCTAACACCCCGACAACCCAACTCAACTCCTCCAACGTATTAGAGGGAAGTCCCTGTGAAATGACCGACCTGTACTGCAGTTGCATAGACCCGGAAGATATGTATCTTTATTTACAGTAGTATAATAAGACGAATAGATTACAAATAAGTGTAAGGGGAAGGGGGGACTCCAAATGAGAGTCTCACTTGTCCTCCTAGGCTCCTCACTTGTCCTCCTAGGCTCCTCACTTGTCCTCCTAGGCTCCTCACTTGTCCTCCTAGGCTCCTCACTTGTCCTCCTAGGCTCCTCACTTGTCCTCCTAGGCTCCTCACTTGTCCTCCTAGGCTCCTCACTTGTCCTCCTAGGCTCCTCACTTGTCCTCCTAGGCTCCTCACTTGTCCTCCTAGGCTCCTCACTTGTCCTCCTAGGCAATCCCAAGGATCGCCCCTTCTCGGCAATAAAAGGGATAAGCACAGGGGAGGACACATTTGCATCATTCAAATCATTCAAACAAAGACAAATCATTCAATAATAACAATAGTAACTAAAATATCAGTTTGGCTCGGAGCTGACAGGTCCAAATTAATTAAAAGGTCCAGATATCCTTGGTCCAGATATCTAAATCCTTGCATCTATTCAAACATTTAGTAATTGACCACATCTAAACTTGAAACTAAAAAAGTTCTAATTTTGCCGTTTCAAGCTTGTCAACCATTTCTTTTGCTATTCTCTGGTTTTAGCTATTATCCAATTCTTTTTGGACTCAAAAAAATGATCTCAGTTTTTGACAGACGAACAAAGAAACCTCAAGGGAGATAAGCTGATGAAAATACGAAAAAAAGTGAAACAAAGAAAGGAAAAGACTTCAACGCATCCATTTTCACTCATTTCTTCAACAGTTTCATTCTCTTTTGGTTTTTTTTTTGCATCATGAAAGTCGTTTTGGTTACAGGTTTGTTATTGTGTTTTTCCTAGAACTACAGTCGAATAAAATTAGTCATTATTAGTGCTTTATAAGTCAATTTGGTTTTTATGCAAAGACTACAGCAGTTTCAAAAGTCATATAAACTTATTGTTAGCCTAATTTCTTGCCTTTTACACCATTGAAAAGGATTCTGTGTCATTAACGAAGCTAAATCACTAGAGAAGTTAAAGTTTGGGGTGCGACCCGCTTTAACCTTATCAACGAGGATGATTCTGCTTAAGAATGACCGAATAGCACAAAAGGTTAAAAGGGTTTCCCCAAAAGCGCTTACAACGTAACAAGAACACGTAGTATCCAACATAAGATTAATACTCTTGAGAAGAGTACAGATCGCATTGATACTACGTCGATGGTGACACAATGGTGACGATGGTGACGTCGATGGTGTTAGTAAAACCAGTCTCTCTACAATGTTAAACCAGTTATCTAAATAGGATTTAAAACCTGAAGCGTAGCATAAAGTAAAGTGAATTTAAAAAGTTACTGTTTATTAGTACAGAACCGAAATGCAACAATACCCATTACAAAAACAGCATGCGCATCAACAAATGAAACAACAAAGTCCCCCAAGAAGGAAGGCAAAAGCCCACCGACCAACAAAAAAATAATTTCGGGAAGGGAGAAAAAGAACGAAAAATGCGACGCGAATAATTGCAAAATAGCAACGCAAATAGGAAGGAAACGGACGCGACCATTCTATTCAATGATCGAAACAAAAAACACCCACCAAAAACTGGTGATCAGTGGGAAGCACAACGCCCAAGGCAAAATAGACCCAAGTGGCCATAAATCGATAGAGACCGCTTCCGTACTCGTCAATAGCCTAAATCTTAGTGGTTTCTAGATCTAAGCCAAAACTGAAATCAATGATTGACTGAATCAATGATAGGGCATAAGCTGTAGCGTTACCACTACATAAAAGTGCCTCCCGACACCGAGAGAGCAAAGTTAACGTAACAAGAACACGTAGTATCCAACATAAGATTAATACTCTTGAGAAGAGTACAGATCGCATTGATACTACGTCGATGGTGACACAAATGTTAGTCTCTCTCTACAAAAACCAGTCTCTCTACAATGTTAAACCAGTTATCTAAACAGGATTTAAAACCTGAAGGGTAGCATAAAGTAAAGTGAATTTAAAACGTTACTGTTTATTAGTACAGAACCGAAATGCAACAATACCCATTACAAAAACAGCATGCGCATCAACAAATGAAACAACAAAGTCCCCCAAGAAGGAAGGCAAAAGCCCACCGACCAACAAAAAAATAATTTCGGGAAGGGAGAAAAAGAACGAAAAATGCGACGCGAATAATTGCAAAATAGCAACGCAAATAGGAAGGAAACGGACGCGACCAAAGCTTGAGATGTCTTTTATGCAAGTTTATAAGTATTTAAGATTAATATAATCTCTGGCCAAAGATTTAGATCTTTAAAGCGTCACGACTCATCAAAAATAACCGAATTTTGATCAAAAGTCGGAAAAAAGTCGGAAATTTGACATTAACAGCAAAAGGATGCAAAAATTTTTGCTTTTTTTAAATTACAAGTGTAAACAAGTGAGTATTAAGATGTTTTTAAAAGCATAAAAAGTTCCAATAGTGTTGCCAATCCAAAAAAACTGCTTATCTGATTGTAAGTAAGTAGGCGTTTGCAAGTAAAGCAGTAAATCTCTCAAAAGCTATGAAAAAACTTTAATAAATAGCTAATTACTACTTTAAAATCATTTATAATAATCATAAAGAAGTGTTTTTCGGAAGTTTTCGCAAAAAAAGGAAGAAATTTGGAGGCAAGCGGAATTGAGCCCGTGACCAGAGGTGGCAACGGTTCTAGAGCCTAGCACACTATCCCCTAGGCCACCGCTGCTTTCGTTTCCTTTCGGCGTGACGCCCTCTTATAGATGAGGTCGCAATTTGCCATTGAACAAAACGAGAAGTTTTGATGTAAAAAGCCAAGTTAAGCAAAGGTTCTCATGGCAGCCATGGCCGAGTGGGTAAGAGCCTAGTATCTTAGGCAGGAGGTCAAGGGTTCAATTCCGCCGGCCGGATTCTTGGTTCTTATTTTTGCTTCTATGGATAAATAACAATATGTGTTTCTTAGAATTCTAAGGGCGCGTTTATTGTAATAAATTGTAATAGATTGTAGTTTAACCCATTCGAAAGTTCTGCAGCGAATAATCGCTGCAGCGTTAATTTGATGATTCCCATTTGAAGATACAGAGCCAGGAAGAGCTTTTATGCTATTTTAATGTCTTTAATTTTAAGTATTTAAGATTAATATAATCTCTGGTCAAAGATTTAGATCTTTAAAGCGTCACGACTCATCAAAAATACCCGAATTTCGATAAAAAGTCGGAAAAAAGTCGGAAATTTGACATTAACAGCAAAAGAATGCAAAAATTTTTGCTTTTTTTAAATTACAAGTGTAAACAAGTGAGTATTAAGCTGCTTTGTGAGTATTAAGATGTTTTTAAAAGCATAAAAAGTTCCAATAGTATTGCCAATCCAAAAAAGCTGCTTATCTGATTGTAAGTAAGTAGGCGTTTGCAAGTAAAGCAGTAAATCTCTCAAAAAGCTATGAAAAAACTTTCATAAATAATATCCAACTTTAATAAATAGTACATAAGATTAATACTCTTGAGAAGAGTACAGATCAGATTAATTGAAACGCGATAAATTTTGTGTTGAAATGAGAAAGCAATTTATTTCCATTTTGAGCCGAGTAGAGAATCCGGAACTTTTCGTAGTCAGACCACAATGAAGACCAAAACTAACTATAAGATTATTTGGGGAGTTGAATGAAAACGAAAGCAAGGCTCATCTTCTAGACCGTTACAAAGCTAATTTTTGTCTTGTATAATAAAATTAGAAACAGTTTTAGTACCGAGTTTGGATAATAAGCAAAGAACTCCAGAAAAAAAAAAATTTAGGCGCCTCTTCGGGAATCGGGAAAGCTGCCGCGATTTACTTTGCCGCAAAGGTGAATCAACGGTTTAATGAAAACTGTTCCATTTTCCAATTCAGGGTTATGCAATCTCAATCACGGCCAGATCCGGTGATGGCTTGGCGGCTACAAAAAGGGATTGTATTGCTGCTGGAATTAAAGAGAACTGTGTGAGTAAAGGAAGTTTGTTTGTTTGTTTGTTTGTTTGTTTGTTTGTTTGTTTGTTTGTTTGTTTGCGAAATTTGTTTTCATTTTTGCTGTTGTTAACTGAAAGTTTTCATTTTTTGTTTCAGTTTGCAGTTGTTTTTTCATTTTTGCAGTTATTTCAGTTTGAATTTTTAAAATTCAGGTTGTGGTGACGCCCGGAGATCTGACTCTAGAATCGACAGCTGAAAATGTCGTGAGAGACACAATCGATAAGCTTGGCTCGATTGATGTTCTGGTAATAAAAAAATTATGACTCTTAGATAGTTTAGAAAGCTGAGCTTAGAAAGCTTTTGAAAGTGAGATTATTCTCGAACGTGAGATTTGAAAACGCAGAAATTATTAGGCTGAGTTACTCCCCTTTATTTCATTATCTACAAGCTGCCGCGAAAGTTCGGTTCTTTTTAGAATTCTCTCTAAAAGTTTCTTGGTTGACTTTATTTGATAAGTGTTTAGTTTATAAGTGTTTATAGCCAAAAGAAAATAGAAAATGAATTTGGGTGAAAGGCTTAGTGCTCAAACTATTGGGTTGGTGCATTGAAAACTGCGGACTATTTCGCGGGACTCGTAGATGAAGAAAACAACACCATAGAACCAGTTGAAAGGGGGGTTTGTTTACTTCAACATTTCCTCTAATTATTGCGACTAAATTATCCTTCCAGCTTTTTATTTTTTGGTATTTGCTTCACTTCTTCTATTGCACTCGACAATCTACCACCGGGACATATTCGTCATGTCATGTTTCATGAGTTCCTACAAGAGCACAGGCTTGACAGCTGCTAATATTAAAAAGATATATGGAGAGGCCACACCTTCCAAAAGAACGTGTCAAGTATGGTTTGCCAAGTTTCGTTCTGGGGACAAATCTTTGAAAGATACAGAGGGCCGTGGCACCTCAACTGGATGACTCCAAATTACTCGAACTTATTACCAACGACCATCGGGTATCATCGCGTGAATTGGGAGAAGAGTTAGGGGTTGATCATGCTACAGTGCTAAGGCACCTTCATACCCTTGGATTTAAATCGAAACTTGGGGCTTGGGTGCCCCATGACCTCACTGTCCCCCAGAAGTGGTAGTGCGCCTCGATCAGTGCCGCCCATCTCTCACAATACGAAAGGAAATCTTTTCTTCCACGAATTGTGACAGGAGGTGAGAAATGGGTTTTATCTGTGAACTTTTGGAGGAAGCGGCAATGGGTGGGGTCAGGACAGGAAACCCGAAAGTGGCCCCAAGCCCGATTTGCACCAGAAGAGGTTTATGCTCTGCGTTTTCTGGGATATGGAGGGAGTGGTGTACTGGGAGTTGCTGAATAGCAAGAAGATCCTTAATTCAATCAAATGCAGTGAACAGTTGGAAAAGGTGAATAAATCCCTGAAGAAGAATAGGCCCTCCAAGTCAAAGATTGTTCCACGACAACGTTCCACCACGACAACGCGCGCCCTCATGTTGCAAAACTGACTCGCTCTAAAATAAGCAGCCTTGGTTCGGAATTTTTGGCGCATCCCCCATACAGTCCGGACCTCGCCCCTTCTGATTACTATTTATTCCGGACCATGAGTAATGAGCTTGTGGGGGAACACTTCGATCCGGAAGAAGCAGTCAAAAATTGGCTTTGAAAGTTTTTCGATTCAAAACCAAAATCCTACTAAGAAAGAGGAATCCAAATACAATTGTAACTTGCCAAAAATTGCCTGTAAAATCGGCAGAAGTCGTCAATAATAATGGAAATTGTTTGGAATGAATTTATGGTTTTATGTTGAATAAATTTTAGTTCAAAGTCCCCCAGTTTTCAATGCACCAACCCAATAATACTCCCATTATTAACTTTTTAAGTTTAAGTCATTTTTCATTCAAATTTTTCCAACAAACCCCCACAAATTCCAGATCAACAACGCCGGTTTCGCGCACGCCGGTCCACTCGCAACGTCAACCGTCGAAGATTTTGACAAACAGATGAACCTCAACCTGCGGAGGTCAGTTTATGTTATGTTTATGTTTATGTACAAAAGTTTTCAGTTTACATCAACTCACTCGACTCGTCATCCCACATCTCATCAAGTCAAAGGGATCGATTGTCAATGTGAGCAGTGTCGGCTCGTTGATGCCGGTGAGTGGTTGTATTTCTCCGATCTTCATTTCCTCAGAGTTCAGTTAGCCAACCAAATCCTTTTTTTAGTATCATTTTGAAGCCTGAACTTTTCTTTACCGGAACATATACAATAGACTTGTAACAAAAACATCTGTTAGCCTTTTTTGACCGCTGGCAAAAGGTTTTTCGTGTTTTTCTCAGCACTAACCCTTCGATTTTGTTTATTTTGAATATAATCCGATGCAGAATAAAATTGCGCATCGAATGATACCAAAATCAACTCAAAATATAATATCCATGCAAAGTTATAAGGCAAAATGTTAAGCCCCGCCCACAATAGGCAGGGCTTAGGCTTTTGGCCAATAACTTTACATGGATATTATATTTTGAGTTGATTTTGGTATCATTCAATGCGCAATTTTATTCTGCATCGAATTATAGTCAAAATATTCAAATTGGATTAGTTGGTGCTGAGAAAAAGACGAAAAAGCTTTAAATTGCCAATAACTTTACATGGATATTATATTTTGAGTTGATTTTGGTATCATTCAATGCGCAATTTTATTCTGCATCGAATGATAATAAAACTCTGCCCTGATAGAGCAAAATAGAACTCAAATTTAGAAAATTCGACTATTTTTACCTTTTATAAACGTTTGTTTTAAAGAGAAATTTGTTTTTTGAAGTGCATTTTGAATGTTTGCTTTTTTTTTCTCAATCGAGTCTTACGCAACGCCTTGAGCTACGATTTTTAAGCACGACTAACAAACTTTAAGCACGACTAACAAGCTTTAAGCACGACTAACAAGCTTTAGGCTCGACTAACAAGCTTTAAGCACGACTAACAAGCTTTAAGCACGACTAACAAGCTTTAAGCACGACTAACAAGCTTTAAGCACGACTAACAAGCTTTAAGCACGACTAACAAGCTTTAAGCTCGACTAACAAGCTTTAAGCTCGACTAACAAGCCTTAAGCTTTAAACCCGACTAACTAACAATGTTTGAGGCTCTCAAAATCGAGAATTTCAAAAGCAATTCGACTATGGAAAATATAGTTTTAAAGCAAAAATTAAAGCAAAATCTTTCTACTTTCAGATAGGTGACGAAAATTTGCTTTTAAGGAAACTAAAACTGGTTTAGAGAGGGAATTGTAGAAAAATTGAAATGCGATCAAACTGAAAAATATTACTCACAGGTATTGGCTCAAAGAAAAGCTAGAAGAAAAAAGTTTTTGAAACCATACTTTTCATATTTGAAGGTTTATATGGTAAACAATTGTGTAACCATTAAAATTTGAGACATTTTAGTCTTTTACGAGTCTTATTATAGAGACAAATCTAGTAAATTTTCAGCGATCTTGTAAAAGTAAAGAATAGTGTGGCTTCTGAAGTAAGTAAGTAAGCTTTTAGCTATTCATTGAAAAGCTATTCATTGAAAAATCGCAAAAAGTTTGAAAGTTCCTCGAGTAGAACCTGATTTTTCATCCAATCCCTTTCTTGTATTTGAACTCCAAAACCTTTTTCTTTTTGTAGGCACGATTCCAGCGCTTTGCCGTAGGGTATGGGATTCCAAAACTTCTTGCAGCTCTTTTGACACTCGATCCAGAGGAAACCTTGTCGAGAAGAATTTTGCGTACAGCAAGCGGATAATATTTCTTGCCCATATCTGAAAAAAAATCAAAATACAATGTAAATTAGAAATAAAGTATAAAATTAGAAAAAAATTGATTTATGAAAGTTGTTCAATCGCGATTCCAGCGCTTTGCCGTAGGGTATGGGATTCCAAAACTTCTTGCAGCTCTTTTGACACTCGATCGCTTAGGGGGATCATTACTTTTGCTACTTTTGAGCTTTGAGCCATTACTTTTGAGCGACCTTAAGTTTTCTTTTTTATGTCATCTTCTAGAAAGCATTCAAGTTATAGTTTTTTTATGTCATCTTCTAGAAAGCATTCAAAATGAGCTGAAACCAGAATATTTATGAGAAAGCTAGATTTTGTCTTTAAAAATATTACTCTGTGCATTTGTTTTATATGAAAAACCTGAAAAATTTAAGGGGGGTACCTTAAACTTTTCATTACCTTTGAGCGGCACTGTAAGTAAGCTTTTAGATAAGCTATTTAGATAAGCTATTGAAAAATCGCAAAAAGTTTGGAAGTTCCTGGAGTAGAACTTGATTTTTCATCCAATCCTCAAATTTCACAACATCCAATGTCACAAATCCAATGTCACAAACTTCTCCGTTTTCAGGTTCCTTATGCGGGTTTTTACTGTATGTCGAAAGCGGCTCTGGACATGTATACAAAGTGTTTGGCACAAGAGTTGGCCCCGCACGGGGTCCGATGCAACAGTATCAAGTGGGAAGGGTAAAGATCCATTAGCTACCACAAAACTTTAGCCCTGGTCTTGTAAAAACGGAATTTGCGGTGGCATCTGGCATGTGCACACCCGAAACCGTGGACGCTGTATGTTTTCATTTATGTAACATGATAAAATATTAGGTTATCCCATATTAGGTTAACCATGAAACCAACTTTCACTCCAATCACTAAAATTTGTTTGAAACCGAAAGAGCTTGCATAGAATGTTCCATCGATCGGCCATTGCCATTGGAAATCCAACTTTGCACCCTTTGGCGGGATGCGCCATTATAATTTTTTACTTTTAGCCATGATCATCATTACATTTTAGCCATTTTCAGGCCTATGAACAACGAGCACAGTTGAGTGCAATGGGACGGAGTGCCAAGCCGGAAGAGGTGAGCTATTAAGATAAACTGATTTCGGGATGATTTTGATGTTTAAAAGTTGACTCTAGCTTGTAACTACGTTGAGAACGAAACGTCTAAAGTTAGCTCTAAGTCTAAGTCTAAGTCTAAGTCTAAAAGTCTAAAAATCAAGGGTTAAATTCATTCATTCATTCATTCATTCATTCATTCATTCATTCATTCATTCATTCAAATTCATTCATCAAGGGTTTGATATTCAGATTGCCAAGTCGATCTACTTTTTGGCCAGCTCGGCCAGCTCGTTCACAACGGGCACAATCATGTTGGTGGACGGGGGACGAATGCTTGGACCTGCACAAAAAACGAATTAACGAAAAAGTCATGATATTCAGCCTGGTTTCCATCGATTTACTAGTAAATTTTATCTAATAACAATAAATATTGACAAGATTGTTTTCTTTTTCTAATGTTTTTACTGTAAAAAAGATTCCCCGGTTCTTTCGATCATTTTCGTTTCCCAACTCTTTAAAAAGTCGAATGGTTTTGTTGACGAGGCTTCGGTTTACGCCCAGAGGCCCAGACGATCCTTTATCTCCCGTGTTTTAAATCCCTTTCGATGAAGATTGATGATTGAAGAACGATGATTGAAGATCGATAATTGAAGATCGATGATTGAAGATCGATCATTGAAGATCGATCATTGAAGGAACCAATTCTGCATATAAAGAAACCAAATTTGTACAGAAAAGGAAGGTCGATGATTGAGGCTCGATTTTTGAAGATCGATGTTCAAAGGTCGATGATTGAAGATCGATGATCGACAATCAAAGATCAATAATCAAAGATCGATGAAGCGAGCGTTTGACCATTCTAAAAAACACCATTTATTGTAACAAGTTTAAAACAAAACGCATTAAAGAGAAAAAGAACAAAAATCCTTTTACCTAGCTAGCAAAATACGAAGAGCTATTTGTTTTTGTAAGCGCATCCTCGAGGACGTAATTATGGCCCACTCTGCATAAAAGTCGTCAAACACAGAAACACAGATCACTTGTCCAGGTTTTGACAAAATCAGAGCAATCGGTGTATCGATTTGCTCAATTTTGAGCTCAACAAGCCAAGATCAGTTTTCAGTTTTCAAGATCAGTTTTCGAGATGCGCTTGATAAAGAAACTTTCATGAGATTTTGGATGAACTATAGCCTGTTTGCAGGGCGCAACGACTACCAAAGCAATCACGTGAAAGGCGCATTCATGTTGCACGAGTTTAATCAAAAACCCGAATTGCCAGTTTAAGAATGCGCAAGAAGTGGAGATTTGGATGACCTAATCTGAATTTGGATTTGGTTGACCTAATTTGGATGACTTAATCACAGAATCAAGAGTTCTTCGATAAGGGGATCCGCAATCTAAAGCAACGTTGGAGGGATTTTATAGATAACGATGGTGCTTATTTTTTTTGAATAAATTGTTACCTAAAGGAATTTTGACTAAATTTAATGTTTGTCAAAAAAAACGAAATTTCTTTTGCATCAACCTAGTAAAAGGAAATACTCTGAGGTAATTTATGAAGTGATTCTGGTGAGTGAAAGGAAGTGAAGGAAGTCAAAGGAAGGCAAAGGAAGGTAAAGGAAGGCAAAGGAAGGCAAAGGAAGTCAAAGGAAGTGAAGGGAGTGAAGGAAGTGAAGGAAGTCAAAGGAAGTCAAAGGAAAAGTGACGCCGAAATCTTCCCCAATTCAGTCGACAACTGGCTAGGGATTTGGACTTCAACTCTGTTCATTCAGTTCTCCAAAAATGAGCCTTGGTTTTTTCCGCGGCTACCCATCCCCAATGTACAGAAGTACAGAAACCCGAATTATTTCAAGGAACGCACTGCACACTACAATAGCCTAATATCTAGCTTCCAGCTTCTTTATGAACAATTTCTATGATTCAGGATTGCTGGAACGAGAACCAATGTTGTCAGGGATGGGCGGCAAGGGGCGAATGCACAACGAACAGGGGATACATGCAAGATTTCTGCAAAGCTTCCTGCAATATCTGTCGACCAAATCCATCAATTTGTGATGGTTCGTGGAAATCGTTTCGTTTCTGATCTTCCATTCATTTTCCAGATTGTTTTCCAGATTGCTCTGATCGTCATCGAACGTGCGGCTCTTGGGCGAGCACCGGTGAATACACAAAAGAACCCTGATTGGATGACTGAGGTGAGATACTGTACTCATTCTACAGTATTCCGTATCTAAGTTTACCAGTTTAGTGTTTCTAGTTCGAGCCTATCAAAGAAAAAAGTCGATTTTATTCAACACACACTAGATTTTATTCAACGAGCAATACAAGAAAAGAGCTGTATCAAAGTGCTCGGCCATTTTCATCTCTCCAATGTCTTTCCACTGTTCCCACGACTGCGCATCCTTAAGTGGTGGCATCGATTTCTTTTCCGTCATCAGCAATTGATCCAAACTAATCCAGTTCTCGTCTTTTCTAAACGATAACATAAAAATATCGAATCATCAACTCTTACTTGTAAACCTTTTCCTCTTTCTGCGGTTTCATGTGATAAGTGTACTTGACGTAATACTCCCACGGCTTGCTATACGAGGACAACTTGTTCCCATAAACCAATGGGCCGTCACGAATGGCGATCGCGGTGAAGCGGAGCATCTTCAGCACACCGTTATTCTCGACATCGCGAGCACACGAGCAAACGGTTGACGAGGGTGGATTCTGCTTGACCATTTCGTACTCTTTCAGCACCATCGCCCATGCTTCTTCCATGTGAAATGCGTGAACGACTCGCTCCAGTGGAGAGAAGTATTTGATGTCCCAACCCTTTTCGTTCATGTGAGAGAGCACCTGAAAAAAAGCTGCTTTGTAAGAGAAAGCTGCTTTGTGCTTCTTTTTGAGGGAAAACTCGGAGTTAGTTCAAAATTGAGCTATATCGCGAATGAGAAAATAAGATCATTTTTTAGCATACAGTAATCCGTTAGTTTTGTTAAAACTGATTTTTTTATAGGTGGACGGTCCAGAAGTGCTGCCACTCCCATCCGGTTTTCAAAAAGAATCGGATCAGGACCGATCCGATCCGATCTTTTTGAAAGCTAGCCCGATCGGATTTGGTTTGATAGATCCGACCAATCGGGCTAGCCCGATCGGATCTGATTTGATAGATCCGACCGATCAGAGCGTCTCTGGGGCTCTGCGAAATGGAGGAAAAAAAGCACAGAGGGCAGGCACTTCCTTTCAAGCTATTTGGCCAAGTTTATCTCCAACAAGAAATTGGAGACAACCATATGTACGATTGGATCTTTTCGCTTATTTCAACGATATCAATGGTCATGAAATCTTGAAGATATACAGAGAATGATTTGAATTTTCATTTAAAAAAAGAAATTAATCGTTTTGTTCTACAAATAACAGAAATATGAGCCTAGAACGGATTATTAGGATGATTTATTTCTGGTCACGCTGTATTAGCCTTTTCATTTGAGCTACTGTAGCTTTGCCTAGACCTAGCTTTACCTACTGTAGCTTCTCTATTACCAGCGCAGGTAAAGAACAAAGTTGCAACCACGGAATACATTGTGATTTGTAGAGTGGCCCTGGAACTCGAGGTATTCAGTGGTACGCAATTTGACCCTTTACCCGAACCACTAATAGAGAAAATACGGTAGGTATTCGGTATCGGCTCACCTCGTCCAACGTCTTCATCCCATCCGTCAAATACATCGCATCGCTGGGCCCACGCCGATCGGGCGCATTGGGCAGAATGGCCGGATCGGCGAACGAGTCCATGTTGATCGTCGGCACCGAGTTGTTCTCGTTCGTCGTCGGCTCGAAACGTTGCAGAATGCGGACGCTCATCGAGTGGATTGCATGCCCGACATTCACCCCAAACCAATCCGAAGTACCAGCCAACTTCAGCACATCCATACATTGCGTTTCAGTATCAACACGCGGAGCCGCCGAGGACACTTCAACGATGCCAATAATCACCAGAAAATATACCAGAAAATTCATTTTAGAATGAAACGTTGTTAACTGAGCTTTCCATTTGGCTTTTATACAAACGATTGTTTTCATTTTTCATTCATTTATGCAAAACCTTTAAAAAAAATTAATTTTACTTTGTTTTTGGCGCCAGCATTATTTGAATTGTGAAAAAATTCACGTCACTCAAATTGGAATTGAGAATTTTGCTAATTTTGCTAAATGTACTCTTGTTATGCTTTGCTTGAAGTGTTTATTTGTGCAGAGAGGCTTATCTAAGAAATCAAATCTTGATGACATCTGTTCTGATAACTATTTTTGGGCATAATATTTTCACCGTTCTTGCAAAAAAAGCAAAAATGACTAAAGAAAACAAGAAAACGTTGATTATTTCCCGGTTGCGACGTAGCACAGATTTGCATATTTCAACTCCATTTAAACTTTGAACTAAAATTTATTCCACATAAAAGCATAAATTCATTTCAAACAGTTTCCATTATTATTGACGACTTCCGCTCATTTTACAGGCAATTTGCGGCAATTTACAATTGAATTGTATGAGTTATAAATTTCTTGGAAACGTTAATTTCTTGGAAACGTTAATTTGTTGGAAATTTATTAAACAGAAATAATACAAATTTGATTTGAGAAAGCCTTTCTAAATAAAAATTTCTAAATTCTCGCGCGACGTCGCACTCCAATTGACGTCGCTGCCATTTGAAGGTAGTCGATGGGAGCGCCGCGTCGTCGTTTCTTTTTCGTTCTCAAATCATTTTTTTGGAAATTCAGATTTTCAAATCATTTGTTTTTGTCAGATTATTTGAAAGTATTGTTTTACTGAATAAATTTTGTGTTTCTCTTTGAAATAAGAAAGCAATCTATTGGGTTGGTGAATTGAAAACTGCGGGACTTTGAACTAAAATTTATTCAACATTCAACATAAAACCATCATTCCAAATAATTTCCATTATTATTGACGACTTCTGCCCATTTTACAGGAAATTTGCGGATTCCTCGTTCCTAGTAGGATTTTGGTTTTGAATCGAAAAACTTTTGGAGCCAATTTCTAACTGCTTCTTCCGAATCGAAGTGTTCTCCCGCAAGCTCATTACTCATAGTCCGGAATAAATAGTAATCAGAAGGGGCGAGGTCCGGACTGTATGGGGGATGCGCCAAAAGTTCCCAGCCAAGGCTGCTTATTTTAGAGCGAGTCAGTTTTGCAACATGTGAGCGCGCGTTGTCGTGGAGGAGAACGATCTTTGACTTGGAAGGGCCTATTCTTCTTTGGGGATTTATTCACCTTTTCCAACTGTTCACTGCATTTGATTGAATTAAGGGTCTTCTTGCTATCCAGCAACTCCCACTACACCACTCCCTCCCTATCCCAAAAAATGCCGAGCATAAACTTCTTCTAGTGCAAATCGGGCTTGGGGTCACTTTCGGGTTTTTTTGGGACACCCTGTATATGGCATATCGTATCTAAACTGTATATCAGTGGCATAGTTAGAATCCTATTTCAGTGCGTTTTAAAGGGACTGGCGCCAAAGCGGCGCGGTGCGCTTTCTAAAGCGTGGATACGCTACCGTATCCCGCACAAAATTTCCCCTTTTGCCATTCTTTTCATTTTTCGGCATTCCGATGAAATCATGAATGTTGTCCGGCGTCTATGCCGAGTCCCGCTAATTTTTTTCCCCCTTTGTAAAATTTATTATGTTCTTGTAGCGCGCTTTTAAAGTACCTCCTCTCCCCTCGTTCCTTCCCTCCTTTATTTTGTTCTGCCTATGTTTCTTGTTTAAATCTCTAAAATGGTTTTGTTTTGCTTCCCTCGGCTCCCTTCTACTCCATTATCTTCGAATCTTTTTGTTCGTGCCGTATAAACTTAGCTTAATCAATTCTCTTTCAACTAAAACACATAAAATCTACCAAATCAGATTGATGCGATCTTCTTGGCATTCTTCTTGACATTCTTCTTCTTGGGTTTTGTGTCTAATTATTTTAGAAAAGGACTGATGAGTGAAAGGATATTGGGTAAGGTTAGATGTTACTAACAGCATCAAATTACCCTCTGAATCAGTCTCGTAGCCAGAATTTCGCGACTTTCAGTCTCTGCAATGCTCTGGAGGAGAAGACGGAGAAATCTTCAAAAAATAACCGTTTCCACGAAGAGAGCAAGCATCGCATAGTATTTTGACTCTAGGAAACACGAAAATGTAGATATTTGAGTTCTAATTCTTGTTTCAAAGTCTTCTAATACCAAATCTTTTATTACAATTGACAAAACAACTTCTATTCGATCTCATTACTCCAACTTACATTCAACCATTTAATTGATTTGAGCCCGTCAAATGCGTAAGTACCCAAATTTGCAACAAAAAACAAACAAATAACAACCAATAGAAATTTGAGTGGATTCGTCTTTTGTCTAGTTGTCGATTCTTTTTGAACGGTTTTAGATGACATAACAAAAAACTCGGGAATCCATTCAGCTCTGAAATTTGTAAAGTTCCCCTTTGAGGTCTCCTTTGACTAATATCAAGCTACTATATAGTTAGAACAAACGTTTCTTTACGCCATTTGAACTGCAGCCGAATCTGAATGCTTTTCGATATTTCCTCAAAGCAAAGACTGAAGAAAGGCCAATTTATCTTTTTCTCGCGCTAAATTTTCTTGATTAAAATAGCTGAGGTTTTGATTTTATATAAACAGTTATCTGATTTCTGTATATGTATGATGAATAAAAGTTAATTCTATATTTATTTTTTCAAAAAACCCCAAAACTTACCACTTCATCATCTCGAAGCCAAGCATGGGCTCGTGGATTTCGGAAAGTGATTGCAATTGTTTCACCATCCTTGTCAAGACAGAAGTTCTCCTATAAAATTGGCTTTCTTAACCATTTTATGAATAAAGACTTTTTTACCTGCTCTGGATTGAGTTCCTGATTGCTGAGCACAACCATTCGAATGCCTTTATCCCGTGGTTTTCTTTGCGTGAATCGGACAGCAGGGTTGAAACCAGGAGTGGTCTTCAATTTGAATTGAATCATCGTTTGATCGAATTTTACATCTAAAATTCAAATTTTACATCAAAAATCTACTTTACATCAAATTATCTTGCTTACCAGAAACTGATAGGAAGTCTTTTACGAGAAGTCCCTTATAGGAACGGATGTTGAACCCATTCCGCCAAACAAGGCCGCCAAGAAAAGGACGTCGATTAGTGAAACGAGGGAACCAAAGTGAACTAGAATATTCTAACTTACTATTGGGTTGGAAAGGAAGTTCTCGGGAAAAGTTTGACTGAGATTTCTTAAACTGGGTACATATTTCTTAGAGGTATTGAGCAAAAAATGTTTCAGCCAATTCTTTTAGGCAAAAGATCGGGAGTGAAGCACGCGGTGGCTGGTCTTCTCGTAGAAATTCGGCTTCCCGTTGCTGCGGTACAGAGAAAGTATTCAGTAAGAAAAAGTGAAGCTAGAAAGCTAGCTAGTGAAGCTAGAAAAAGTAAGAAAAAGTAAGAAATCGTAGAAAAGATTCAAGTAAAAGGAAAAGTGAAAAGATTCAAGTAAAAGTGAGCTAGAATATTCTAACTTACTATTAGGTTGGAAAGAAAGTTCTCGGGAAAAGTTTGACTGAGATTTCTTGCAAACGAATTCATCAATTCAAGAACATTTGCTTCTATTATTTACAAGTCAACTCCAAGAAATTACTCGTAAGAAAAATGAGTGCAGCTTTCCCTTAAAATTTTAGAGATTTTTGAAAAAAGTATTATCTCCCAGCTTAAGCTCAGTTTTTGCTCAGATTCAGCTCAGTTTTTGGAGCAGAAAAATGATTTCTTTCTGAGGTAAAGCTAGTATAAATGCAAAGCTAGCAATACGCTCTATAATCTCTATTTTTTGGCCAAAAAATTTTTTACAAAGAAGCTATATTTCAAAAAAATCATTTTTTTGAAATCATAGGTGTTTGCTAAAATAGGCGATTCTGAAAAGTTAAAGCATTCAGCATGTAGATAAACTTTGCCTTAGTCATAAATCTAGTACTCTGTACGTCTTTAAAGTACTTGATTTTAGGTTTTGAATGGAATCTATTGCCTATTCATTAACCCATTAAAAACTTATCTAAAGGTCGGTCACTCAAAAAGTGACCAGTTGCTAAAATTTTTGTTGTGAGAGAAGCTTTTAAAGGGTTTCTGTGAAGTCTTTCTTTATTTAAAAGTACATTATCTTGTGCGTATTTGGAATCTTTTTAAACGGATAGTTTATTATTTTTTAAGATCTTTTTTTCTTGTTTTAGATGACCGACTTCAAATATATCAAGTCTGCCTACTTTACGACTTCAAACTGGGCAAAACAGCTGCGGAATCCCATCGAGATTTGGTCAAAGCATTCAGCATGTAGGTAAACTTTGCCTTAATCATAAATCTAGTACTCTGTACGTCTTTAAAGTACATCATTTTAGGTTTTGAATGGGATTGCATTGCCTATTCATTAACCCATTAAAAACTTATCTTATCGAAAAACTTATTTAAGGCTGGTCACTTAAAAAGTGACCAAATCACTTCAGCTGAAGAAATCTTTTGTTTGTTGAACTAAAGCCCACTCTGATCTTTTATCAAAAACTTTTTGAAATATAGGAATGCCCTTCCCGACAAGTTGCGTTTGATCTTAACCGTGTCTGATTTTAAAAGGGCTATTTCGTTGCATTTTAAGTGACTTTGTGATCTTTTATCTAGTACATTTTTCATGTCGTTTTCGCACTTTATTTCTTTCTGAATAAAGTATTTATATTTATAGTCAAGTTTATCAAGAAATCTGGGAGGAATTTATGGCTTGGTTTTCGAGAAATCACGATGCAAACTTTTTCTACGAACTTTCTTTCCAACTTTAATATTATTTAGTATTTTAATCATCATTTTAATCATTTAATTATTTAATCATTTAATCATTGAATCATTTAATCATTTAATTATTTAATTATTTAATCATTGAATCATTTAATCATTTAATTATTTAATTATTTAATCATTTAATTATTTAATCATTTAATCATTTAATTATTTAATCATTTAATTATTTAATTATTTAATCAATCATCTTTTAAAAAAGATATTAGGCAATTATTTAATTACCCAAGTTTGAGGTATATTCGACGGTGAGATGTCCTCTGGCTACCACCCGCTCCACCCGTTGCCACCGCCGCGATGGAGACCGCCCGACTTCACGTTCGACGTCGGACTGGCCAAGCAGCTCGACCCGTCCTACCACGTCGTCATCGAGGGACTGCCTGAAGCGATGTTGTGCCCAGCGATGGACTCGATGTCACGGAGAAACGCTGACCGATGGCTCCTCGAGGGAATCCTAACGGCGTATGGGCTCGACGCGATCGTCCTCCACTCGTCGTATGGGTATCTACAATCTTGTCCGACCAAGACCTTTCAAGGTCGTCCTCGCCTCGTCGCATGCCTCGTCGAACCTCGTCAAATCGTTTGGTGTCCATCCAAAGTCCTCGCTCCCGTGGTATGCCCGTTTCTGTGTCATTCGAGCATCGGATCCTTCGCGATACAAGCAGAAGTCACATCACCTCGCCGCCGTCGAGGGTGACTCGCCCGCCGTGAATCAGGAAATAAAAGGAGGTGATGGTGCTCCTGACGCAATTGGACACGGCACAGAGATGACAACCAGACGAAGAGGTCGTCCACCGAAGACAAACCCCCAACGAAGGACTGCTACCCTTCCATCCAATCAAGCCTCATCACGCCGGCGGAAAGTGGTCTCTCGTGACGGTGACCGAGGAGTAATCGTTGATCGTGTGTCGCAGTCTCAACCAACTACCGCCCCTTCAAACACTTCATCACCCTCTTCAAAATTTGTTAAAGTCGTTTCACATCATTCCCCCGCTCTTTCAACCAATTCCTTTCGTAGCCCCTAATTTTTTGTCTCGTTCCCTTTTAGAAATCTTTTATTGTAATGCTCATAGTATCGTCTCCAATTCTTCCAATCGTTTGGCCACTTTTCAAACATTTACCCGAACAAAATCTTGTCCCATTTATGCCATTACTGAAACTTGGCTAAATGAATCTATTTGCTCTTCCTTGCTTGACCCGAAAACAACTATAGCATTTTTCGTTGTGACAGAAATTCTATTTGTAAACTTACTGGTGGAGGAATTGCTCTTTTGTTGGACAAGTCTCTTCCTCATCAATTAGTAGCGTCAAAATCTTCTTTTGGTTGTGAAATTCTCATTGTCGATATACTTTTTCCATACGTTTTCAGACTTTTTTTAGTTTACAAACCCCCCGATGTTAATCTTGATAATACAAATTCATTGTTTTCGTTCATTGAACCCTTTCTTTATTCTTCAAAGTTAAAGGTCATCCTAGGCGATTTTAATAGTAAGATCTCCCTCGTAAACCGCTCCCCACACTTTGATCTATATCACCGACCTTCTCTGCGTTTTAAAGAATTCATCTCGGCAAATTCTCTTTCTCTTTTAAATCGTTTTCCTACTTTCCTGCGCTCTAGCTCTATTTTAGATTGCGTGCTCACCAATATCGAGGACAGAGTCGTTGGCGTCAAGAGAATTGCCCCGCTTCCCGGCGCTGACCACTATGCCATCAAGTGCGTCATCCGTTGTGAGAGCCCTACGAAAAACCCAGAAGCGATACGGTGTGGTCATTTTAGCACTAACTTTGATAAGGCGGCAATAAGGTTTCTTGATTTTCAAGCTTCCTTCTCCAATTTTTGCTCCCCTTCTTCAAAAATTGATGATGACTATCTTCTTTTTTCAAACTCTCTCCTCGCAGCTATCGAATCTAGTTGCTCCCACACCCCTTGCTCTCTTCCAAATCACATTTTACGAGCTAAATCCAAGATAGATCGCATTTTATCCTCGTCTTCTCATCAAAATCCCTCCGAGGATCCTTTATTTCTCAAGACTCAAAAAACCCTATCACGCTTCTGTAGAAAATTCGAAGCGAATGTTGAAAAGAGGGCAATAAATTCTGGTGACCCCAAACGTTTCTATTCTTATATAAACTCTAAATCTAAGGACCGCGCAACTCTGCCAAAACGGTTTTTAGATTCTTCATCATCCTTTATCTCTGATCCTAAAATCATTGCGAATGAATTTGCCAAATTTTTTCATTCTACGTTTTCTAATTTAAACTCTCCCAGTCCACCTTTTTCTCTTAGTAAAACCGTTCCACTTCAACCAGACTTTATGATTCTTCCTATGGATGTCGAGAAAGCTTTTAGAAACTTAAAGCCAAAGAAAACCACCAGTCCAGATGGGATTTCTCCATTTTTTCTAAACAAACTCTCTAGAATCCTCATCTCTCCCCTTTGCAAGATGTTTAACAAGATTCTCCTACAAGGCAAGGTCCCCTCAATTTGGAAGGAATCTTTGGTCGTCCCCATCAATAAAACCTTACCAAAAAATGTTTTCTCTAATTACCGTCCGATTAGTCTTACTTCTCCTGTTTCCAAACTCTTCGAAACTATTTTGAAAGACAAGATTATCTCCCATTTCCAAACGCACAATTTATTCTCCCCATCTCAATTCGGTTTCCTAAAAAATAAGTCAACTGTGTCGAACCTTATTCTTGCTTATCGAAACTTTGTTGACGCCATTGAGCAAAATCATAAAGTCCAGCTTGAAGCTGTCTTCTTAGATTATGTGAAGGCTTTTGATACCGTTTCCCATTCTCGTCTCAAAGTCAAACTGTCAGCGTATCAAATTAATCCTTCGATTGTAAATTGTATTATGAACTTTCTTGAAAACCGATCACTTAATTCCCTCTCCAATCCTTTGCCTTGTCCCAGCGGTGTCCCTCAGGGGTCTATCTTGGGCCCTCTCCTTTTTACTATTTTTATTAATGATCTCCCTGGCTTAAAATTCTTTTCCAAGGACGTTTCTCTTTGGCTTTTCGCCGACGACGTAAAGATCACATTTAAAATTCCCTTTTGCAAAGATTTTGTTTCAAAATCTGAATACTTTCGAATGATCGATCAAGACCTCCAACTAATTGCAAACTGGTCTAAAACTTGGG